AGGGAGGAGCTTCCGGTCGTCAGAGCAGAGCAGGGCCCTCCGCTGTCAGTGCGCCCTCTGCCGGTTCGGAAGAGAAAGTGCAATCGCTTTGCGGCTCTAATCAAGCTTTTGCATATTCCCAGAAAGATGCAAGCCTTTAAACGTGAAAGTTTTCCCCACATAGCAATGTGGAGAAATGTTTATTGCAGAATTTAAGTGAAAAAGGTGCAAACTTTTTATCTATGTTATAACAAATATAAAAAATAATTATCTGAGAACATGACCTGAAGAGAACAAGGAAAGATGAGAACTATCCATTATTTGTGCATTTTCTCATTGGGAGATGTTCCGTCATTGTCTGTTGTTAATTAGACGTTATACGTCCAGTCCAAGGAACACTGTATCCTGGATGATTCCGCTTGAAACTCTTAGCGGCATCTCAAACTTAGCGTCCAAAACGGAGCTCCTGATCTTCCTCCCAAGCCCTCCGCAGTCTTCATTGTATAAATGGAAACTCCGTTGTTGCCCATATCACAAACGTTCGTCACTTTGACACCCCTCTTTGACACCTTAATCTGTCAACATATGCTATAGGCACTGCCTTCAAAAATAGATCCGAAGCTGCCCCTTCTCCCCAGCTCTCCAGCACGGCCACCTCGACGGGAAAACTGCAGCGGATAGCTGTGTATTCTCAACACGGTGACTACGCCAGGTGCTGTCGTTTCCTGCTGCAGACCCTCCATCCAGGAATTCATCGTGGCTGTTATCTGTACTTTTATGAAGATTTGAAATTTTTCATAAAGTGAAATGGCATTCCCTCCCTGTGAGAGGAGGCACCTAGGGCCCTGATGGAGCAGCTAAGCCAACGCAGCTCTACTCCCCTTGCCCGGTTGCTCCGGCCACATTGGCCTCTTGACTCACCCTCACGGGACCAGAGTCCTCGGACCACCCCACAGAGTCCTCGGTCCTCCCCAGGCAGCAGCTGCCTCTTCCCCTTACTTTCTTCTATCGGTTCAAAGAGCCTCTAGCAGTGAGCTGCTCCCTGACCAACTCTTCTAAACAGCAAGTTCCTCCCTTTCCATTTCTCAGGCTGCTTCATTTGCCTGCAGAGCACCTCTTAGATATATCCAGGTATTATACACACTTGTTCATTGTCTGACTGCCAATGGGAATATCAGTCCATAAGGACAGTGATTGGGTTTTGTTAATTGCTGTAACCCTTGTATGGACGTTCAATAAGTATTTGTTAAAATGAATGAATAAAATCAAATAAAAATAAATTATAAGGACAAGAAAAATCAGACTCAATGATGAATTTTGAACCTACTGTTTGTATTAATTTACAATAAAGAATTTGTAAGCTGCTTTGAGAAATTTATTAAAATTAAATATATCTTTAAATAAACTTTTTCATTCATAGATTTTTTTAAAATTTAGTCTTTATAAGTTTTTATATGTATTTGGCTAAAATGTATGTTAAAATATATAATTATGGAAATGGTAATAAAATTAAGGTTTTTACTTTAAGATAATTATCTATGTATATAAAAGGCTAGTATGCTAAGTGTCCGACCATCCAACTGGTCACTATGATGCTCACTGACCACCAGGGGGCAGATGCTCAACGCAGGAGCTGCCATGATGCACACTGGCCATTTATAGAGAAATGGCACTGCAGACCTAGCATCCACAAAGCAACACTTGGCTTCCCCAAAGTGCGACACAGGCCCTGCCATCACCCCAGAGCGACACCCCACCAAGTCACAGCCTATGCTGCCGAGACCCCATGGCGCAAAATGGCCCACAGCCCAGCCCAGCCCCGCCCAGAAACGGTCACTGTGGGCACTGGGTAATGATGTCACGTAGCAACACCCGGCTTCCTCTCCCTAGTGACTAGCCTCCTTGGAGTTTCTTCAGCCCAGGAACACGACTTGCTTTATAGCCAGCTGCAAACATTTTACACTTTAACCAAATGTCTGTGAAGCATTTTCCCATGCCTCATCTCATTTGATCCTCACAGAAGTCCTGGAGTAGGTAGATAGGAGACTCGGTAGAATCCTATTTTCTTTTCATTAGCTGGAAAATGGAGATTTAGAAAGTTTAGAAACTTGACCCAACTGAAAAGGAGAAATGGTGGACCTTGAAAATGTCTTCAGGTTTTCTCACTGCGCAGAATATAGTCAAACATTGCTGCAGTTAAATATTTTACCCTTTGTTCTCCCTGCGTGATCTACAATAATAATCTGCTTTGTGTTGATATTTACTGCTGTGTTGCTGACAATTACCTGAAAGAGAAGTTGGGGTGCTTCACTGGCTGGAAAAAGTTTAGCTACATCAGAAAGCAGGTCTAATTAAGTAAGTTCATTCTATATCTATAAAAGACTAAGATGACTCGCATATGCACGACACATATAAAGCTCTCTCTGGTGCCAATTGCACGTGTGTGTTTTGATTTGTTATTGTCAATTGTGAATTTGGTTGATACTTTTGTTATAAAGGGCGAATAGCAATATTAAAAATATTTCTTCTATTTAATTTCCTTTCAATGTGCATGAATTCATGTACCAGGCCACTAGTGTTAAATAAAAGTGTATCTATTACCACTTTAACAAAATTTCCTTCAGTAAAAACGCACACTCATTATCTTGTGTGAATATATATTATTTTTCTGTAATTAAACCAAGTATATTCTTAATTATTTTTATTAATACCACTTGTAGCCAAAGTAATCAACTTCGTTTTGTTTACATAGAAAACTGAAAGACAGAAAACAAAGCACTATTTAGCTCAATTTTTATGAGTGCACATAATGGCCTCTGTTAAGTTTTAAAGTGGTATGTATGTGTATATATATATATATAGATAGATAGATAGATATATACACACACACACATATATATACATATATAATCCATATATTAACATTCTGTTAATTCAGTCATTTTATAATGTATAAAAATAAAGATAAATTGAAACTATCTTTAGTAGCCAAAACTTTGAATCACTTTTACTTAGAAATTGTCCAAATATTTAAAGATCAATTTAACATTTCTAAAGTTTTGAAAAGTTAAATGAGGATTTGAAAAAACTAAAGTTCTAGCTAACATTTAGCTCGACCATCTATATACTGTTAGAAGATAAACTGAGGCATAGCGAGAAGTTCGTTTGAGCAAAATCGGTTCCAATAGGGCAGCATCACTCTGGAAGTGTTTTGGAGCACTCCATCAGTTAGGGCAGTGGTCAGCAAACTGGGGCTCGCAAGCCACATGCGGCTCTTTGGCCCCTTGAGTGTGGCTCTTCC